CCACAATCAGCACTAATGAGTTTTCGTCTTCCCTACTTAAGGGCAGTTTCTTGGTTCTAATTTTCGCCAACATCACATCATGGTTTACCGATTCATTTTTCGGACTGTTGGATATAGCAGAAGCATCGACTGATAACTCGCTTGCACACGGTGGAATTCTTCTGTACCTGGTTTATCCATTCTTGCCATATTTCAGATTTCAATCGTCAATGGAACTCATAGAATTTTACAGAAACATCTGACGAACTGTATAATCTTCATAAATATAAAACCATTGAGTGAAATATATTTTTAGCTCACTTGATAAAAATTTAAGTTTTTCTGATCGAAGATTGCTTGTCTAACTTTCTGATTATCCTCGGCAACAGTTTAAAATTTTCACTTCTCTACTTCAGGTCCAAGGGGTTGATTTTATTAAAACTTAGTGTTTTTTGGGGCGAAAAATTTAATTTAAAATATTTTTAACGAGAACAAGTGCAGCAGAAAATTTTACTTTATTTGAAATCCTTCTGATTAATACCAGTAGTAGTTATATTAATATGCAAGCATGCATATGCAGATAAGAGTCTTTTTTTTAATTAGGCGCCCTGGACAATAAAGGATGAAAATTTTACATGGGAATATTTGAGAAAAACTTTTTTAAAATACCTTTTCCAATGCAAGAACCACTGGGGTTTGATTAGTGATAGTAGTATGCAAGGATTTTCAGGAATTCTTTTAAATCATATGCATGAACATAGGATGGGGTTATATAAATCATTTTATTATGACAGACTGAGCATATGTAGAGTACATGCATATTTGCAAATTTATCAAAGCAAGTCCTTTGGGGAAAGGTTGGGGCCACAGTAGGAGATAAAGGGATTAAATACATGCAATATTTACTTAAAGAAATTAAAAAAAATCCGTCTTAAAAACACCCGGTACACATTACTCATATTAATATGCAAACATTCAAGTGGTAGTACAGATTGATTCATGTTTATTTAACCCATGGTCCTTGTGCTAGGGTAGGAATAACCATAGATTCAAAATTAAAATAGCACTATAGCAAATTAAAAAAAAAATCTTTGCAAAGAGTTTGAGGACAATACTTTATCATAAATTTATGGAAACATTCCCAAGTCAAGTAAAATCATTTTCTAATCTTGGGGTAAGGACGGGCCTAAAATAAGGGATTAAATTTCACATAATGCATGTTTATAGAAGTAGTCTTTAAAAAGTTTTCTCCAGAACAACAAGAGAAAGTCATATTGATCAGCACCCTTACGTATTGGTGAAGTTTGACCTCTTTGGATATGATGGGTGAACAATATGGGGTAAACAAAATTTCATTGGATTATCGAGGAAAAAAATCCTCGAAATCTTATTTTGAAGATCAGCAGGACCAAGATGACTCGAGTGAGTGTTGTGGCTCAAGAGGCTCTTGTTATGTCTTGTTCTTTTCGTCTGAGTAGTGTTTAGCTGAAAATGATATTTACTCCGTGTTATGTAACATTGTAAATAATATTAATTGTGTCATGACAGGCATAAATAGCGCCACAAAGTTTACAAATAGAAATATATTTCATTTTTTGCCCTAAATTTTCAAGCAACCTCTACAGTTGTCATTAAGGTTCTTTATTCTGTCAATGCCCATCATGACAAAGGTTGATGATTTCAAGGTTTCATCTTAAAGCCGTATAATTTTTTGTATGAAATATCTGAAGATAACGAACAGTATTCAGGCTCAAAAGTCCATCAAACAATACAAAATAGGAACAGAGCAAACACGGACCTCTTAACATCAGAGGTGGGATCAGGTGCCATGGAGGAGTGAGCATCCCCTGCCGACCGGTCACACCCGCCGTGTGCTCCTTGTCATGATCGGGAAATAACGGAAAAATCCGTTGACAATTCAGTGTGTAAATAATGGCCTAACAATTTGTATGAAAAAGGTCAGTCAGCATTTGACTCAGTGATAAATTGTATTTGCTGACAAGGTCATTGTATAGACCATAGAACTTACGAAATTATGACTTTAAACGAGACTGCTGATATTCTTGTTTCATCAACTTGTTTGTCAATAATTTACCTCGTTTTAGAAATTGTACATACGTAGAGCATGCTCTTGCGTATCGAATCAACTGAGAGATATATACCCCGTATGCAGGTGATGAAGGTATATTGCTGCATAAGTAAGGGAAGTTGACGATTGAAAAGTTAAAGTCATCACGTTTATCATAAAGCTTGGTTGTTAGATTACCATTAACGTCTTTTTCAAGTAAAATATCCAAATATGAAACAGATGTGTCAGACTCTGTGGTATCTTTTATGTCAAGCTCACAAGGATATATCGTATCGACATAAGAATGGAAATAGCCATTGTTAATTGACAATACGTCGTCGATATATCTAAATGTCGAGTTGAAGGCCACAGCAAGTGTTTTCTTCTTTTCACATACAAGATTTTGGACAAATTCTGCTTCATATGAATGCAAAAAAAGGTCTGCTAATAACGGGGCGCAATTGGTACCCATGGGAATTCCAATAGATTGTTGGAAGACCTGGTCTCCAAAAACCACATAGATATTGTCAATCAGAAACCCAAGCATCTTTTTAATGTCAACTTCAGAGTACTTGTGTGTACAATCAGAATGTTTTTTAACAAAATAATTTTGCAAATGACCAATGACAAGGTAAGTAAATTTACGAGTTCCATTTTTATTGATATCAAAGTGATATCAAAAAGCCTGGACTTTAATTTATAGTGGGGAATGGTTGTGTATAAAGTTGAAAAGTCGTAAGTTTTTAAGCTGTTGATTTTGATAAAATCTTGCGATTTCAAATTTTCCAAAAGTTCCTTGGAATTTTTAAGTAACCACATCTGTGTATTATACCGAGAATTCGGAAAAGAATATATAGACTTTGATATTTAGAATTCATTCAAATTCACGATCTTCTGCTCATGAACTGAGCGCTCAGTTTATTCAGCTACATCAGAGGAAAGATGTCTTTAATATGGCAAACTCTCTTTTTAAAAAAACATTTTGTAAAAATGGATGAATATTATATGTTGATCAATGTTTGATGAAGAAAAGAATATTATTGCTATGGTTATTAAGAATGGGAAATGTTAAATTTTATTATTTTGAAGCAATGTTAAACATTTTACTGTAAGATTTGGCATCAAATCAGATATCTTACCCAGTATTTAAATTCAGGTTAGCTGTTTATTTAAATATAGATTTAAAAGTTTTAAATTTTAAGAATACAGGGAAGTAAAAATAAAAATTATAAAATATCCATACGCTCTTTTTTGGATTAAAATAAAAGAGAATTTAAAAATATTTAATGTTTCATTGCCATTGCAACCAATTAATGATATATTCCCACACAATATAAACATTTATCTAGGATATTTCTGTATCCTTTGGTTGCATATTAACTCATAATTGCTATTAGTTTTTGAATGTATGTGAAATAAAAAGAATGAATAAAGTTATTTATTATTTTGTTTCCGTAGGAACGTATATGTAATTCTTTCTTTCTCAAGTATTACTTTATATCATCCAAATAAGGCATCAGGTCTACGATTATGGAAACAGCCACTGTTTCTCCTCTACTAGTTACAAACATTAGTAATGGAACATGTTCACAAGTGCTATTTTTCAAACTTGGGGCATGCAAAGTTGCAGAATTTCTGTGCCTATGCGTTACTCGGATTCTTATATGAGAAGTAAAATCATAGCAGATGCTAGCTTATTTAGCAGAAGTTAGCTCATGGGCCGGACTTCATCCATTTATATTCAAGATCGTCATTGTTGTTACATTTTATATTTTTAAAGCATCGAATATATCCATATGGTGGAAAATCATTTCCAAGTCTTAAATTTACATGTATGCTGATGATGCTAGGTCTAAGTTTGCATCAAAAAGTTTTTAGGAAAGCCAATACTTTTAATATTTCCGATCAAACACACAATACGTTGAATAAAATTTTCAAACTGGAAACCCGTAACCTATATCTGACCTAATCCTTGATTTGACATCTGTATCATATTTTAATACAACAAGCAAATTCAAAGAATTGTGGTCCCCCTTTTTCGGTGTCTTAGTGGTTGGGATGCATTTATTTATGACATATTGTAACCGTCTTGTTTGTGTGTCCTTCAAACTTCTAGGTAAAGGTCATGAAGTCAAGGATAATATACCTTTCTGAAAGGTTTTGTTACAGGTAATGTACATACAAAATAAGAAAGCCTTATTTTCTCTCATTCAAAAGTTTTTACCAATGTGAAAAAAGACTGTAATTTAAACTTTGAGGTCAAGGTCACGAGGTCAAAAATCAGATTAATTTCGGAAAGATCTTAAAACAGGCAATACAACATATTAAATATAAATGCACTTTCATCTCTCATTCCAAAGTTATCAGCAATGTTAAAAAAAATTGAAAATTAGGTCAAATTTTATGGTCAATGTCATGGGGGTGATTCCTGACATAGTGTAGACTGTTCATATCAAATGGTGCATCATAATAGGGAATGGAAGTTTTACGTGACACTATTATATAAGAAAACAAGGGGGAAAAAATCTCAAGAATCACAGTAATTTGCAGACGTTCCCAAGCTGTGTGGATTCATTTTTATCTCAAAGTTATGCACCCCAGATTAGTTTTGGATAAAATCGGGATCAAATTTTACGTAATGCATAAATATAGGTAAAAAAATTTACTTCTACAGAACTGGAAACCCAAGTTAGCCATTTTGCTATTGAAGCATTCCGATTTTGCGAGGATTCAGAGATCCCCAAGAATGAGGGTTAGACCATAATATGCTATCACAATTTTTATGGGAATATAAAAATCTTTATAAAATCTGAATAATAGCATGACTAAAGTTACGCAGATAAGCATTGTGGCCCATGGGACTCTAGTCTTCTTATATGAATTAGTTTTTGGGATAAAGTAATTGATGAAGTTATTTTAATTATCAAAATTTGACCAAATATTATATTTTTTTTTACAAGTTTTCTGCAAATCTGATGATCTTTACAGTGCCAGTCTTAAACTCCCCCACCCACAGTCTACTAAGTGAGTCCACACTCGGTGCTCCATAAAAGTCTAGAATACGCAGAAACCAATCGTCCTGATCAAGGATATGGAGGCATTTATTTCCGGTATCTTTCACCAGAATACGACTCGCTGAGTCTGTTACTATGTTGGCTGGTCTAAATGTTTCCTTCATTGTTTCTTGTCCTTTGTACCGGTATCGGAGTCTTCCTGTTTTGTTCACCACTGTGACAGTATCTATATTGCAATCAGGAGCACATATATCACCGTTGTTGTTCTCCGCCACAAATAGCATCTTAAGTCCTCCTTTAAATATTGGATTACCTTGCTGATCTTTCCCTATCTCCTGCTTTATTCTTTTACCTTCATAGCGGACAAATTTATAATGTTCTTCATCAAGTGTACACATACTGACAAGTCACCAGTCCTGATTTTGTGGAACACATCCAGATGGAGACCATCCCTGTACATGTGGTGCTTTGATCCCAGCTGAAGTCTAATGAAAGTCATTAACTACATGATTATCGCAGATGTCCATCTTTTGATATTAAAATATCACTAGGATAATCCGAACAGGTAGAGGCAACAGTCACCCGTGCAAAACCTTGTTTGTTGTTAAGAGTGATGGTTTTATTCTCCCCTATTATCCACACCTCCTCTGTATTCATACATTCAAGCTTATGTAATGGTGCTATTCCAGTGGGAAAGCTTTCATTTTCAAAGGTTCTATCTAGGAGCGTATTAAATGCTGACCTGTGGATCCGTTCTGTATGGATCTTGGGATTCCTTAGTTCGCCAAACTTTTGGTTAAGTCTACTTTTATCTATATCATTGGAAACAAATGTCTTTAGTTCAAGTTCTATATTTAAAGGAATCTTCTGGTAGTTTTGAATATTACTATCATATTTTGTAATATCACTGACGTTAATAGACTGAACGATCTTTCTATTTTGCTGAGTAATTTCTTTCAGACTTGTAAGTACTTCTTTGATTTCCTTTTGATATTCTTTTAATCTTCCGATGCCAATTTCTATCATTTCTATCATATCTTTTTTGTTCTTGTCAACCATTACTTCAATCAGTCTGCGCCATTCTTCTCCATGCTCCTTGACCAACCTTTCTAATTTGTCACATCTTACATTTAAATTTAATTTTGACTCTATTTCAGTATCTGCGTTTTCGAATTTGGGAATGATAGTTTGTGTAAGATAAACTGTGCCCTTCTTAACAATACGTTTCTTTTCTTCAACAATGTTGTTAATTTTAATAATTATATGCCCATTATGGTCTCTGCTGAGATTTTTAATGCAAACTTCAACATTACAGTTCTGACATTTCACAGAACTCAACTCGCCAGTATAGAATTTTCAATTTGGAAACGATAGGTAAAATTCTCTCTCTCCGTATTTGATAATCTCATGAGAAGATGACAATGACATCACTGAGTGTTTTTCAACACATTCTTCATATAAGTTCACCTTGCATGGATTACAGTAAAGGAGGGCGGGTCTCCTATCACAGAGATGATATAGGATGATCATCTGTCTGATCTTTATTGGTGGCCATTTTGGGCAGTGTATTTACATCTGAAAATAGACCGAGCTACGCACCTTAACAAATTAAAATTTTTTTGTCGTCAGTCATTTAACGTCTAGCTCAAATAATGATAAATAGGATAGAAGAATGGAAATAAATTATTAAATCAAAGGTAGAATTTAGAGTCATAAATTATTGCATATCAAGGTCAAAGTTCAATGGCAATATCGCTCTAATAGTTCCAATTTCCATATCTTCTTATGACTCACCCTGATTTACATGTACTTAAAAATTATACAATGAAAAGATCACCACAAACGAAAAAATCAAAACAGCTCAATAATTTCTGATTCACAATCACAGACAGGCGCAAAGAGGCCGAATTTTTGTTTGCAAACCGAGCAGATGATAATTCAACGAGTATATGTAGTAAATCAATTAAATAGCTTCATAAAGCAACTTCCCATATGTATATGGTCTAAGGAAATAAAACACGAAGGAAGGACACAACGTTAAATAAACATGCTACTTGTTAAGCTTTCAAAAGAGAAGAAACAATTCATATTCTGGTGATAATAATATTGAATTATTTTTCCTGAAGAAATATGTATGTAAAAGTCTACAAAACTTGTCAGCAGCAGGCAGTTTTTAAAACAAGCAAAGTTTTGTCAAGATGGCCATTTTCTATTGATCCATCATATTCAAGTTAGCTAAAAAGATTCATTTAAAAACTTCTACACGAGAAGAAAAAAAACCCCCACTTCCTATGGCCTTGAACTCGACATTTAGATATATCGGCGATGTATTATCAATTGACAGTAGTTACTTCCATTCATATGTTGACTCGATATATCCCATAAAAAATACCACAGGGGTCTGACACATCTGTTTCGTATTTGGATATTTTACAGAAAAGACTTTAATGATAACCTAACAAAAAAGCTTTATGATAAACGTGATGACTTCAATTTTTCAATCGTCAACTTCCCTAAATTATGTAGCAATAAACACTTATCACCTGCATATGGGGTTTTTGTCTCTCAGTTGATTCGATACGCAGGAGCATGCTCTACGTATAAACAATTTCAAAAACTAAGCAAGCTATTGACAAATAAGTAGGTGAAACAAGAATATCAACAGTCTCGCTTTAAGGCATTATTTAGTAAGTTTTATGTTCGATAAAATTACCTTGTCAGCAAATACAACCTATCATTAAATCATATGCTCATTGACGTTTTTCATACTAATTGAGGCCATTATTTAGACACTGAATTTTCTATATATTTTCCGTTTTTTCCGATCATGACAAGGAGCACACGACGGGTGTGACTGGTCAGCAGGGGATGCTCACTCCTCCATGGCACCTGATCCCATCTTTGATGTTTTTGGAGGTCCGTGTTTGCTCTTCTCCCAATTTGTATTGTTTGAGTGGACTTTGAGCTTGAATACTGTTCATTATCTCGATCCATATATTAATTCTTGAAAATTCTAGTCCATGTTTCAATCTTTGATGGAATTCTTCACAAATTTTTTCAAAATATTGCTTAAACTCTAATCTTACACCAGAGGAAACATCGAGATTAAACATAACAAATTACAAATGCTTTTGTTATGTTGCCTTGTTTGATCGTATTGAGTGGGGATAATTCCTTTACATTAAAAACTTGATATTTCCTTGTCATGAGGTTATTCATGATCAGAAGAAGTTGTCTGAGAGATTAGCACATACTTCTGAAGGTAAGAATTCTTTTTTCTTTTTATCAAATATAACATTTACTTATCTTTTTTGTAGTAAATTGGATATATTAATTAAAAAAATAAAATAGTTTTTTGGTGATTTCACCCTTGGCCGAATGAAAGTCAAAGAGTCCAGGATTGATAAATTTAAAAAAAAAATCCTTTTGTTTACTGTTTAAAAATAATCTAGACAAAGATTACAAATAATAGTTGATTTTGAAAAGAAGAGCGAACAATAGTGCGATGCCTATAGTGCGATAAACATGAATGTGAAAAATTAAATCTCAGTCACAACAATTTTTTTTTTGATATTTCATCTAACATTAAAGTATACTTTATGTTTAATCTCCAAAATTTGTAAAAATCTCACAAAGATTGAAATTATTTGCCTATGATATAGCATATATACACTCAAGAGAGAGAAAAGGATCATTTTCTCATATACTATAACACGATTGTTCAATATGAGTGAGTCTTCTCTCCATTTTTGAAAGTTTATCCTCAGAATTTGCGTAAAAATATACATTTTTGGTTAACAAAAACATGGAGCAAGGACCCACTATACACATGTACCTTAAAAATACACTTTTATGACACAGCATTCGCATCTTTCCGAGAAATACTTGGTCCATTTAGTCAAGGGTCATATCACAAATATGATTTAAATACAACTATTCATCAGGATTTGCGTAGCATAATGGTCAGCGAGTTAGTCTCAAATAAAAATGACTCTCAGGATTTTTATTGCTAGGGTTCGAACCCCATGATTACCATATTATTTTTTAATAGCAGGGTAATTTTTACAGACAAATTTCAATAATGAGAACTTTACTCCAATTATCAAATTCTGAAATTGAATATGATTTTTATATATCTGAAGCTGTAGTCATTCTGCGCGTCTTGTTAACCCATTTCCTTTTTTACCATGAAAGAACCATGTTTCATTTAGAAGACCTTGACAGGTTGTCAGAATGGATTAAATGTATCAGATGTATGTTAAAATCTCGCATTAAGCGATTTAGGGGCAATATCAAAATCTTCTATCCTTCTGTGTTCAATAATTCAGAAGTGAAAATTAGATAGACTACACGATCAGTATGTACTGGTCCCAGCTGAAAAAGCAGGTAACAACATTGTCTTTGTAAGGCTCATTATTTGAATAATATTTCAGAAGAACTGGGATTTAATTCTACAAGTGGCAATCCAACTTATACCCATAGCCCCCTTTTAAGGAGGATATTCTTCAAAATCATATGTCAGTTTTGAATAATTTTAATATTCCCAACAACCAAAATGAATTTGAATTACCATATTTATATTGGATTCTGAAACTTCATAATAATCCTTGCAAACAAAGATACATAGCGGGTTCCAGTAAATGTTCTACCAAGCCTCTCTCCTTACTCCTCACTAAAATATTAACAGAAGTGAAGGAGAAACTTCAGGAGTACTGTAAAACAATATACATGTATTCGAGAAGTGGTGTAAATCAGATGTGGATACTTAAAAATTCCAAGGAACTTTTGGAAAATTTGAAATCACAAAATTTTACCAAAATCAATACCATAAAAACTTACGACTTTTCAACTCTGTATACAACCATTCCCCATGATAAATTAAAGTCCAGGCTTTTTGACATCATTGACAGCTGCTTTTTCAATAAAAATGGAACTCGTAACTAAATTTACTTATCTTGTCAATGGTCATTTACAAAATTATTTTGTTAAAACATCCTGATTACACACACATTACTCTGTAGTTGATATTAAAAAAATGCTTGAGTTTCTGATTGGCAATATCTATGTAGCTTTTGAGGACCAGGTCTTCACACAATCTATTGGAATTCCCATGGGTACCAGTCGCCAGCGTGGCGCACTGGTTAGAGCGTTCGCTCTAGAGTCGCGGAGTAAGGAGTTGATCCTTACGTCGCGGGTTCGAATCCCACTGTGGAACGTGGAGACTGGTCATTCGGTTGAGACCGTATAAACCGAGGTCCCGTGTAGCAGTATGTGCTGGCAAGAAAAAGATCCCTCAGTGTTCAATGGCCCTGAGTGCCGAGTAGAGGTCAAAATTAGTATCTCTCCACCGGAAAGTGGTGGCGTCTCCATATGAGTGAGGAATTCTCGAGAGGGACGTTAAACAATAAACAAACAAACAAACCCATGGGTACCAATTGCGCCCCGTTGTTAGCAGACCTATTTTTGTATTCATTTGAAGCAAAATTTATTTAAATTCTTATACATGAGAAAAAGAAATCTCTTTCTATGGTCACCAACTCGAGATTTATATATATCAACGACGTTTTTTCAATTAACAATAGTTATTTCCATTCATATATCGACAGGATATATCCCAGTGAGCTTGAAATAAAAGATACCACAGAGTCTTACACATCTGTTTCGTATTTGGATATTTTACTAGAAAAAGAAGTTAATGGTAATCCAACAACAAAACTTTATGATAAACGTGATGAATTTTAACTTTTCAATCGTTAACTTCCCTCACTTATGCAACAATATACCCTTAACACCCGCATTTAGAGTGTATATCTCTCAGTTGATTCGATACGCAAGAGCATGCCCTACGTGTGAACAATTTGTGAAAGGAGGTTATTTATTGAGAAACAAGTTGATGAAACGAAAATATCAACAGTCTCGTTTAAAGTCATCATTTCGTAAGTTCTATGGTCGATACAATGTCCTTGTCAGCAAATACAATCTATCATTAAGTCATATGCTGACTGACTTTTTCATACTAATTGTTAGGCCATTATTTACAAACTGAAATGTCGACGGAT